CTCACTCACTCACTCACTCACTCACTCACTCACTCACTCACTCACTCCACTCACTCACTCACTCCACTTTACATCCTGCTAGCACTGCCCGCCGTGGTCGGGATAAGACCACTTGATAGCTTTGATGGTCGTTTCGAGCGTGTTACGTTTTGAAGGTCTCATGCGGATCTGATCGCAAAATCCAGAGTCCAAACTTCTCTCTCCGCCTCCTTCTATTTCTCTCTCTCTCTCTCGTCCCTCTCATCCTTGTTCATCACATCATCAGACACTTTATCACACACCCACACACAGGCACGCCATCTTACCACACACACACACACACCTCCTCCCTCCCCTCCTTCTCATCCTCGTCCATCACATCATCACTTATACTACACGTCTTAGCACAACCGCCTCATATACCTTCTCTCCTCACACTTCGTTCTTGACTTTTCATCTCACTACTCCGTCTCCCATGTGATGTTCATATACAACTCAAATTTGTAAAACTTATCATGTGGGGTTATCCGGTCCTTTTATTTCAATGTGCTTTGGTTCCTCAGATGCTCCCTCTTGAATTCAGTTGCCATTTACATTTTTGAGCCAGAAACTATGTTCTTATATATGTTCATATGATTCATATGATTCAGTGCAAGTACATCTGCTTCGAAACAAGACAAAACCCCCACGAAACCCCGAAGCCGCTGTTAGTATGCACATGCATTTATACCGTGGGTCCACCGGGCCGGGGTCACAGCTATCACTGACGTGCATTTAGATTTGCATCCATTCAATCTTGCCTGCGTCTTTCATTGACTTTCTTGGACTATTTTTGGGCCTTGGCATTCTGGACAACTCCGTTTGGATCGTTGGAATTGGACCTTGGCATTTGGAACTTGGGGGCAGCTCCTCACCAGCCGCGGACTCACCCGCCGCTGCCTGTCTCGTCCATGTCCAGGTTCTGCCCGATCCAGAGGATGACTGAGCCATGAATGCCGGCGAACCGAGACTTGGGCCCCAAGGATTTGAAAAGGCTGCCAAAAGACCACAGATATGCACGACATAACCACAGATATGCCAAGCTTTTGGTGGTAGATACTTAAGATGTAAGATGTATGGCTTTTGGGGGGCATTTGAAAAAGGATTTGCCCCACCAATAGGCCGTGGGCTCGACGACCAATTCCAGATCTTGCAGCTGTAAAGCATGTGCATGTCCCTGTCATAAGCATCCCCCGCCGACGATAAGAGGGTTCCTGTTTCGATTCCAGGGGCCTTAATTTTAAAGTAATGTTTGGAAAGGTGGCACCGCTACCTATGGGCCACATGGAGTTGACATGGAGTTGACCTGTTGTCAGTTTCTATACCTAATTGGTGTACTTGCTTGTGTTTTGTTGGCGCGGATCCATCCACGGTGGGCATTGGACAAAACCCTGGTCCGGGGTGCAACACATTGTCATAGCACTATGACGCTGGAGGTTCACATGAGACCCTGTTCGCCGAACACTTCCTTACCTTGGGCCCAACATTTTTGCTCAAGATATAGCCACGACAGTAGCACCGAAGGTGCAACTGGGAATCTCCTGTGGAGGGATTTCTTCCCAACGCAGGGCTGAATCAACGTCTAGTCCGGTGCTCGAAAGCTAGCCCAACTCTTTGAAAGCTGTGACTACTTTGTGACCCAGCACTGTCGCATGGAACATGCAGACGGTGGTATCTGTGGATGTTCTTATCTTAAGAACTTTAGCTTTTGCAAAGAGGTTGCCTCGAGGCAGAGTAACAAAAACCTGGCGCACCTCTGGAGGGATGAATCGTCGGCGTGCCTGGTGTGCTTGAGGTGCAAGTGAGGCACGGTTACGGGGCGGTGCCTCGGTTGTGCACGCGTGCGATTTGCTCGCCTGTGCACGCGCTTTGCTCGGTTGTGCACGCGCTGTGTGAACTCGACATACCCGGCCAGGAAGCGGATGGGAAACTCAAGTTCAAAACGGACAAGGGCACGGAACTTTTGGTGGACAATGTGGGGGGCCCAAATGATGGGGCACGCGCCCAGAACACGATCGAGCGATTTATGATTGAAAGGTGTCCATATAACAAGAACTGTTTTGTTCAACCGAATTGACTTGAAGATTTGGCAGTTGTTGGATAATATTGGAAAATGTTGGAATTGTCTTTGATTTCTTACTGTATACTTAACAGTATAACCACCAAGACTGAAGCATCAGCACTGCTCACTTTCAAGATCTTTCAAGTACATGGGGCCTTGTTACATGGGGCATACGGCCACATGCACGAGTCATTCTTTGCATATCCACATGCTGCCATGCGGCCACTCACAGTGGTCCCGCAGCATATGAAAATAGACTGTGTTCATGTGAAATTGGACTACAGTATGCGTTTGTAAGATCACCCCAGGCTGTAAGATCATTTGCTTGAAAACACATTTAATCAACTCAATGAGTCAAAAGATGTCAAAACCAGGTGTGTGACCCGCGTCTTGCATCGCTGTTGCATTGACCCTCTAGTGGATGCATTCAGCCACTCTCCTTGCAGGTCTGGGCTCAGATTCACACCAAAGCTTTACTTCTACTAGTTTCTTAGCGAACCGCTGGAGCGGACGGAGCGCCATGCTTCGTCTCCTCAGATTTTGCATATGTCTGCCGCTCCTCTCTGCGCAAGAGGTGGATTTTGACCAGGCTGGGGCGAACCAAAGGTGGATGGCCAGTCCAACCAAGACTTGGGCCACAGTACCGCACCATTACGGAGGCCGAAGACTCACTCGGCCCTCCCTCGCCTTCCCACGGATGCATCAGTATACGGCACGATGCACGGACTTCTCAAACACATCGTTTCGTGTAGCCGCGCTTTTCTGCCGTCGATTCTGCTATCCGGACCCGAGAGCAACGCCACTTGTTTTAAACAGAATTCCCGGTCCAAACCACATCCTTTGGCCCAAACCAATTTACTCCAGTCGCCCGCCACTCACCACGCCACGCGAGGCAGACGAGGCCTGCGAGAGCGAGACCTGCCAGGTCTCGCTCCGGCAGCTGCGCGCTGAGAAGCTCCAAGCGCTCGGCCTCAGCGCCGGAAACGCCGAGGCTTCCTCGGCCACGGCGCAGACCGAGGCGCCGGTGAATGCTCGGAGAGGTGGAACCTCCCCGGATGGAATTTCGGTTCGCGGCGGTTTGGGGGGGGCTATAGAATCTAGCATGAGAATGAGCACCATGGCAGCGACCTTTTGGAAGGGTTCACCTTATTTGGGGAGGGGTCCATTGAATTCTGGTTCATTTGTGTTTCATGTTGCTAATTCCTTCAAAAGCTCCTCTAAGCTGGGTGCTACATCAGTTGCGAGATAGGTGAGGTGATGGCTTCCACATGCCTCCACCATATGAGCGGTTTCGGAGTAGATGGCACAGACCCCAAGATGTCTTCTTTAAATTAGGGTCGTCCATATAAACCACCTTCCGGGCCATCGACTCTGAAACCACTTTACAAGTGAAAGCAGTGATCATCGCTGCTCCAGGCCGACAGAGGCGAGCGGACCGAGGCAGGGGGTAGGGCGGACCGTGTGGGCTGTTCAGGTGGAATCGGAGGTCTCCGTTGTCCCTGAAACCCACCTGCAGGACTCCAGGCACCTTCCTGCAGGGCTCTCCGGCCCTGACGGTTTACAGGCGTGCCGCATGCCTCACAACGAGATACAACGAGGAAACTTCCGAAGTAACTAGCCAGTTAGATTGGGCGTCAGCCGCTAGGCGGTCATTTTATTTGATTCTAATTTGGTGGTATTTCGCCTTTAGCTGCGTAGCTGCGTACGGCCAGCAAAAATGAGAAAACACCTTTAATCACTTTCAATTTGAAGACCTGTGGGTGTTCGATGTTCACAGGTCTTGCATTCGTCCCTAGAACCATTGAACCTTCCAATTCCAATTCGACTCACCGGTCGCCGTCGCCACGCATGGCCTTCAGGCCTTGGGCCGCTGGTACGTGGGCCTCGCGCACGGCGGACGATGGACAGGCCGTGCATTGAGCGCAGATGAGGATCATACTTGTAGAGTGATGGGAGTCAATGTTTAAGAGTTATCCGGTGATTACTGTTGGTTGCTAGGCTTGGTTGATGTGTTTGTAGGCAGCAAGACTGTAGAGTCGGAGATGCACTTCAGCTGCACATTGTTCTAGAGCATGTGCCAAGAAGTCCATTAAGACAGAGAGAGAGAGCGAGAGAGAGAGGGGGGTACTGTTGGAATCCTTTGAAAGTAGTGAGGATCAAGTAACAGCCAGCGATCCATACAGCATTTCAGCCAAGCCTGTCTTGCAGCAGTAATGGCTCTTTTTTTTGTGCATGGATCAATACTGGCTTGTGCAGAATGAGCAGGTTCACAGTTCACACGGCTTGCTTGAGGGATTGGAGTGAGGAAGTTCCAAGAGGCCAGCCCTTCTGGCAGGTGGCACCTGCTGGTGGCATAATTGTGCAGCCAGCAGAGGTCCCACCACTTGCCATCACTTCCGCTGCATTTGTCAAGATGGCTGCGTGGCGCTTATGATGGGGTCATACACCGACGGTTGGGGCTGATCACAGGGTGTGAAACCTTGCGTGGGGATCGTTTTGACACCGACTGAACTAGAGCCCATGAAAGAAGATGTCCTCGCAAATGCCAGTTCAATCACGCTAGATTTCGGACATCTCTCAACGATAGGATGTCCTTGGAAAACCGCATGACCTTCCACGGCCACCTCCAACCTACCAGTGGTGCCAGATTTGCAAGCCAAAATCCCCAGAGCTTTCGACTTAGTACCCAGTACATCATCTTGGACCCATTTGGACCCAATTTTCCCTCAATCCAGGATGACCCCTAGTACTACCAGGGATGATCCTGAACCCTGCACCCCCTGTTGCACTCCTATTGACCCTCAATCCATCTCAGGCTACGTTGCGGCGGGCGGGAAGTGCTACCCCTCCTCCGCTGAGCCCAAGACCCACATGGGCCTGCGCCGTACGGGTGCCTCGTGTAGCGTGCGGGGTGCCTGGGCGGCATTTAGGACACGGAATTCGACACGGTCAACGGGACCCGGCAAGGTAGCAAGAGCGTTGATGGATTTGTTGGTTTTGTTACATGAGCAACATTGGAAAACAATCTTATAATCACTGGAATTTGTTTGAAGCTCATCTTGCCACTTTTAAAATTAATTTTCCAAACTGTTTCATATATCGTCAACCCGTGGGTTGCTTGGGTCATTATTAGGGAGCCGGGGCTCGAGCCATCGGAAGCACCGGTGGACCTCGGTGGACCATCGGCACCGATCAGGATGCAGCAGACCTCCCCTCGGGGAGACGAGACCTGCCACCTGGGAAGAATCCTGGAGGTCTCTAACTCTAGGCGCCCAGAAACCAATTGGGCGCCCAGGTGCCCAGGGTCCATCAGGGTCCCAAAACACCGTGTATTGGGTCCTGGAAGACCATTTCACCGTGGTTTCTTTCACGGTCGGTGGTGCAAGTTCATCATACCGACAGTGCCGACAGAGATCGGTACAAACTGCGGGCCTTCCTCAGGTTACTGCGAGCCTTCCGAGGGGCCTGCCATGTGCATGGAGGGCTATTGCTTTTGTGGCGTGGCTGAACTTAGGGCAAAGGTGTTGAACCCAAATGTTGATTGGCTCCTTCTATCACACAAAAAAACATAAATACAATTTATGTAATTATTGAATATTATTGATTGTTATGTCCATATTTGTTTAATGTATATTAATATATAGCTCGGACTTCTTTAGGCAAATAGTTTTTGCGTTGCTGTCCTTTGCTTGACTTGGAGTCAGCATGGTGAGTCTGCACTGCTTTTTGTTGGTTATTCGTTTGGGCAACCAGCCTGAACGAAGTCACTCCCATGTCCTCCATGCTCCGTAGGAGTATCTCTTAGGGTACACATAGGGCAAGGTCCATTCTTCCAACTTAGTGCTTTAAGATTAAATATTCACCGACAAAAGAGCTGTTCAAAGGCCACTGCCATTTTTGAGCACCCTTCTGTGCCGGTGCGAAGCTTGGTAAAACCCGGGTGCAGTGAGGTTTGGAGGGCTCCGTTTTTGAGGGCGGCAAGTGCCAAGAGCCTACTGTTTGGGGCATTGAAGAAGGTGGCAAAGGACTGGTTTCCGGACTTGTGGCGTGGTGGGAACAGAGAAATTCAAGACTGCAAACCATAGCACGAAATTCGCAATCCTGGTAGACCAGCTTAGAATCGGTCACGGCTTGTCATGTTTGTCGCGCTCGGTCACTGGAGCCCAACAGTGGCTAACCAATGACTTAGAAAGGTTCTTGATGATTGTTTAGGACCATTATCTATAATGGACGCCAACGATTTTGAACTCATGAGGCAATATGGTCATGTGCAAAATGCCCGGAGCCGCTCCAAATACCTTCTCACCTGAATTTATTTAGACCATTCTGAAAAAGCCCAGTGCCCAGAACTGAAGCCGGTAGGCTAGGAGCCCAAGAACCGAAGCCGGTAGACTAGGAGTGCATGGATGGTGTATCCATTCATCCTGGATCATCAATCCCCTCCCGCCAGGAAGCGAGGGCAGCGAGGGCGAGGTCACCGACGCCAAAGGCTCTGACTCCACGTCCACCGCGGTGGTCACGACCACGGAGCCTCGGCGGTCACGATGACCTCGGAGGACCAAGGACCGATTCCTCACGAGAGGGGACCAGCTTAGCATGCAAGGACCTACCTAAATTACATGTATAAAGTTTGTAAAGGCCTACCGGACAGTGGATGAAACTGGACGAAACAGGGACTCCAAGGATTTCAGGGGCCCATGTTCTGCTTCCAAATGTGACTGCAGTGTAGTTGGACCCTCTATGATCCAACACCACCCCACTTGGACCCTGCTAAGCCAGGCAGCTTGGAAGTAATTGCCGGGCCGGGCACAAGCCGACAAGTTCTCGCACCTTCGCAAAAGCATGTCGGTACATGCATTTGGTTTTGTTTGCACTGATGCCCCTAGATAGAAAGAATATGGAAAAGCTAAGTAAACGGATTTTATCAAATCTGGGCTTTATGATGTTCTGCTTGCCACCTCATCCCCCCCCAAAAGGCAACCTTTTCCCATTCCTCGCTCCGTCCGGAAAAGTTGATCTATGTTGATCTCAGAAAGGTCTTTTTGATCACTCCAGTTTCTTTTAGATCCTGACACGATTTTTCCTATTATGTACCCTTGCTCCCCTTCTTGAGGAAGAGCCAGAGGATATGGATGAGCCAGAGGTTGATCCTGATTGCGGCATCCCCAAAGCGGGCTCCGACTGCTTCAAGAAGGTCGGGGCTTGCTGATGGTGCACGATGCGATGGGGGAAGGGGGGCGGCTTGCAGGCTGTCCCCTTTGGGAAATGCCATGGAGACGATGGATATATCATGTAGGAAGGTTGGGAGTACTGCTAGCTGCTTGGGCAGAGGGTGACCACTGGCGGAGTCAGACTGCAGGTGAAGTGGGCCATGAGTGATGGGATCTATGCCAACCCAAGCTTCCAGGATGCAAGATGTGAGGGAGCGAGGCCTGGGTTGGGAGAAGAGGTGATGGAAAAGAGACGAGGGCGGTGAGTTCGATTCCCAAGTTTTTTTTGGCCCCTTCAGTATCCTTTAGTAAGGCTTAGTAAGGCCAGTCTTTTTGAGACCAGCCAGAGCAGGACCGCAGGACGCTGGAGCGCGGCCACACAAGCTGTATAGCTTTCCTGCAGCTTTCCTCCACGCTGGCCCTCCATCCTTGTCTCAGGTTGGTATCCCGGTGTGACGCCTCAATCGCCCTTCACCAAGTTTCAGGCGCAGTGCGGCCCCAGAGCGGTAGGGAAATCCGTAATCCTTCCGTGGGCGTCATGGAGAAAGGACCTGCGCTTGTGAAGGAACACCATCCACAAGTGGTGTCTACAACTCATACTCTGCAACTCGTACTCCCTCATCCAACGCACTGCATTGGAGAAAGCTGTTTTTAAAGACGTTCCGGGCATCCTGCGAGCTCCCACAGGTTCCGATTTCCGGAGGGCCATGGTCGTTCCAAAGCAGGTCCCACCAGCCACCCCAGCCACCACCCGGCTTAGAGGTCCACATGGAACCTCTCAACACCACCAGTGGTTAGTAGAGGAAAACAGTCTTTTCAAAGGCCCATGGAGTCCATGTTCAGGTTCCATGTTACGCATCCCGGGTGTAGACATCCCTGTCCCTCCGCCCTGACTGACTTCCGCAGGACTCCCTCTACCGCAGCGGAGAGGGCGGTTGCCCCAGGCCTTGCAGCGGCGGGCTGCCGGATGACCCGCTCCACTTTCCCAAATCGGTGCTCACGCGCACGAAGCGCGGCATCAAGCCACCGAAACACCCCTTTGATGCTCGGAGCACGGCCGCGCGCGGATGCGTGTGGATGCGTGTGCGGGGTGGGGGAGCAGGTTTCTATTTTAAGTACGTACCACATGTGACAGGCAAGCGCTTTTTGAGGCTTGGCGGACATCGTTGAACCGTTCGGGTACCAACCTTAGCTGGAATTACCAACCCAGGGACATACAGGGTCTAAGGTTATGCTGTGTGTGTAAAGCAGAGCAGGAAGTAGCAGCGAAGATGGATATGGATGACCAGCACCAGCGTTTCTTTGCGAAACGGCAGCCACGCGCAGCGCTGCACCACCTACCACCCTGCCCAGCTTCGAGGAATACAACGGCATTGAGTGGCCCAAGATGACCATCCGCGGCACCAACACGCACGTCTTCGCTGTGGGCGACTGGGGCGGCCTGGCCGGAACCCTGCCACACAACAGCCGCTCGGTGCTTGGGAAGTGCTTTTCTCGAAACGGAGCCGTAGAATTTGGCATACCGTGCGGAAGGTTTCAAAGGAGATGCCGATGGAAGGTGATTTGCTACAACCTGATGGGTTCCTTTTTTTCGGATCCCCTGACAGAACCAAGAAGCGCTGCAGACTTGCAAAAGGCTCCTCCAACTCAGGTGGAGTCAGGGTAAGAACTCCGATGGACTCCAATGAATTGGTGCCTGAAATGCCCATCACTGCTTGCAGTCGCCCAACTTCATGCTTCACTGCTCTGGCCAGACCTCCCTTCAAGACAGGAAGAGGCAAACACAAAAGGACCCGAAAAGGATCCCCGTGAGGATTGCTGGAACTCTTTTAGCGTTTTAGCTCCTGGATTGCTGCAGTCGTCGTTCGTGCTTGTATATGCGATTGTGAGCATTCAGTCTTGAGAATCAAATCCAAGGTCAGATCATCCAATACAAAGGCCTGGCCTCCTTGGCCGAGGGTGTGAGACTCGAGCGAGCGCGCGCGAGAGAGAGAGAGAGAGAACGGGATCTTTGCAGGGAAGATAACCAGGAGATTGTGTATGCAAGCTGCCCTTTGATGCCCTTTGATATTTTTTTAGATGTTGCTTGTTTGAGATCCTGCAGGTACAGTGCCGCTCTTTGAATTGGCATTTCAGTGACCATGACTGCTGAATGCTTCAATCAGACTGGATCACTCTGTCCAACCGCCCACGTTCGGGCCTTGAAACCATCACCGTTGGACCACTTGGGACCCGCCTCGGGGGGACGCGGGTCGACGACGTCGCTCGGGACCTCGTCGTCGGTTCAGGCGGACAGACCATGGGGCCCCACACCATGGGCCGCTACCGAACTGACGCGAAGACGCACGACCTGACCTGCACCACACCGGAGCCTCGGGGGACGGAGACGGGACGGTGTTCTCACCGTGTGCACGCGGTGCGTGAGGGCAAAGTGTTTGTTCTCGCCGGTGGCGAAGAAGAAGGCATGGAAGTGGGTATTTTGAAGGAATGGAAGCTGTGCTAGATTTTTTGTTGAGAGTGTCTTGGTCCTGGTTTGTTTGTGTTTTGCGCACGAGTGTTTCCTGCTTCATTGTGCTTTGATGCCATTTAGGGTGTCGTTCAAAGTACTGACAGGGATTGGTAATTTCTTGGAACGCTAGATGGGCATTGAGTTGTTGGCCCCTGGACTGTTTTGGTATGGTCATGTTACAGGTTCCTAAATGTTGCAGAAATTGGTCAGGCTACAGGCTATCGGGAATAAATCATCAAATCACGTGCCCTCGCCTCAGAAGGCACCACAGGAGCACTTTGTCAGGGGCCCTGACATCAACTGATGCCCACCTTCGTTGGCAAGAATCTTGGGATCAACACCGAAGATCAGCCATCCTTGTAGAGAGCTCCAACCACTAGGGTGGTGAGCTCCGGGAGGGGATCACGAGGGGATGTTGGCAGCTTCGCCCTCTCAACAAAGAGCGCCTGGCCTTCCCCTCAGGAGATGTCGGATTGTTTTGGCACCAATGGCACTGACTGTCCCAAACGCTGTGGCTGGCTCAAAGATGTGACTCTGGCTCATTTCCGGGGTGGACCGCTGGACCGAGGGAGAGAGAGAGAGAGAGAGAGAGAGAAAGAGAGATTATAACATCTACTAGTAGGTGGCTGGTTGAATGCCCCCCCGACAGATGCGACTTGGTGATACAAATCATACGTGCAAGACGCGAATCCTCCTTCAACATATCAGTCCTGACAAGACTTGATAGTAATCCCGTAATCCCCAAGGAGATGGACAGAATCCCTCAAACAGGGGTTGAAATAATCACGAAAGCTAGCACCAGCTAGCTGGAGTTGTCCTTGCTTTAGCAAGTGAGGGGCTGGAACTTCATATGTAGGGCCCCCCCCCCCCCCGTGGCTCCTCCCTCGAACGCCTCTGGGACTCTCGGGCATCTCTTATGGCATCCACTTTGGCTTAACTCCTCCGGGATACGGTGCAACAGATTCAACAAGCTCACATGTTCATGACATCGACATCGATAGAAGAAACCAAACAAATCATGCAAGCAGCTTTGTTTTGCCTCTGGGACACGTCTTGGGCACCTCTTGTGGCATCCACACTGGTTCAACTCCTCCCTGGAGGTTTTGGGATACGGTGCAACAGATTCAACAAGCTCACAGGTTCGTGAACACATCGGATGCATCGAACAGTGTGGCAAAGTCCAGCCACGCTTCCTTAATTATCGGGGACTTCAATTCTAAGGTTGGCTGTGTCATTGCTGTTTGTGTGTCTTACATGTTCACAACGTTTTACCTCATGAGCATTTGCCTCACTCCGCTTGATGTCCCACCATTCCGGATGCACCCCTGCTAGCTTTCGTCACCTACCCTCGGCCTCAAGTTTTCATGTGTTTTCTCAGGGTGTTCCTGATGAGGGATGCCCAGACGAAGTCACGCTCCTCCCGGAACTCAGCCATAGTTGCTGTATGGATGAAAAAGGCTGTGATTTGCTGTTAGGTCGATAAGCACAGAAACATGGCACACCACCTGAGGTGACATGAGATGACTACTCTGTGCTCTTCGTTGCTGTGTGTGTTGCTTGTGAGCTGCTGGCCGGCCACAGCCACAACCCCCCCGGGGGCCGCCAGGTCGATGTCCCTGCGCAACATTTGGTGGCGGATCAGATGATCAAGCGGGCCAAGGCGGGCTGCCGAAGTGGAGCCGTGCCGAAGCCGCCAAGCCGAGGCGGTCTGATGGTGTGATGAGGCGATGAATGTGATGCATTGCCCAGGCACCTCTCTTCTCAGATCTTAGGAAGGTAAGTCGATCACGGGTGATATGTTTCATCAGGCATCCAGCTTTCTTTCGAGGGCACCAGGGGCGACCGTGCGGCTACCGTGCGGCACGTGCCATGACGGTCGCCCAATTGATGGCCCAGTGGATCCAGTGACCACTATAGTAGGTGACCAGTGGTTCCAAAGACTAAATAGCTGTAGTACCGACTGAGGGCCCCTGATTCTTGGTAACTGGATGTAACTGGGATGGTCTTAGTTTTTCACGAAAGCTAGCATGCTAGCTGAGTTCTTCTTTGCTTTAGCAATGTTGTGGTGGGAGGGGCTGCGTGCCTTAAAGATTGATATATCAAGCTAACCCCCCCCCTGAAAAGTAGAGCCTACCTGTACAGGGTTCCACTCCAACAGCTGATATAGTGTGTCCATGCTTGACTGCTCAAGGCTCAAAGAGCAAGAGGATAAGACTCTGCGCATAAAAGACACTAGCGGTCTGCACCTCTACCGTGTACGCCCTAGTCACTCTTTCAGTGGTAGCGGAGCAGTGATCCTGGAAGACCCAGGTGAGCTCCTTTCCTAGGCATAGAATTGCTTGTGGGCAAACGGCCATGGATTGGATTGACGACTGGGAAGAGCCTGATGCGGATGTGGCTTATGAGCCAGCAGCCTACGTGAATAGGCATGTGAGAAGAGAACCAGCAGCAATAGCAATGACAACACAGGTCACTACAAAGGTGCCCCCATCTTATGATGGAAAGACTTCATGGTTTTCCTATGAGGATGCCATAGACGATTGGTGTGATATCACCGAGCTGGAGGATGAGAAGAGAGGACCAGCACTGAGAAACAGATTAGAAGGAGAAGCAGCTGTATACAAGCGTGTTTTAGACAGAGATGCATTGAAGGCAAATGATCCACCAGGAGCCGGCGTAGAATATTTCAAACGAGTACTACGACCATATTTTGTGAAGGGATCAACCAATGTATTCCTGTATAGATTTATGCAATTCGTGCGCTTCAATCGAGGATCAGCTGACATGATGAAATGGATGACAAGATTCCAGATTTTACTCCAAAGGCTTATGAGCAGTTGGATGGACATGTTAGAACCAGTTACTCAAGCACATCCACAAGTCCTAGCTCAGATGCAGGCAGATGCAGCGTTGACTGGAGTAGCACCAACGGCAGAAAGGATTCAGGAAATCATGCAGACCATCAATGGCAATATGAGGACTTTTCATCAGAACGAATTTCCTCTAGGAGAAAATCTCATTGCCTTACTCATGCTGTCACTTGCAGATCTGTCTCAGGACCAGCGAAACACTTTGACTTCCTTGATGACTCATCGTGGCAGGGTCCTGCAGCAGTACACTACAACAGAGTTGAGGACAGTGTTCATCGAGATGTTCTGCACGACAGACTTCAGTAGACAATCCTTTGATGCAGCCAACAGGTGCTGGAGGTAGAAGATCATTTCTCGTACTAGACGAAGGAGAACTCGATGGTACATTTGGCTATTGGGCCGAAGATGAAGAAGATGGAACAGAAGGATTTCTAGATGCCCTGGACGATGTCTTTTGGGTATATGATGATCAAAACTTCTCGTGGTTCCAAAGGAGATTCCAAGGAAGAAGAGCCAGGAAAGGCAAAGGAAAAGGAAGAAGAAAAGGAAAAGGTAAAGGAAGATCAGGCCGCAGATTTTTCAGACCTCGTGGAAAAGGAAAAGGAAAGAGACGAGGTAAAGGCCATTTTGCTGATGAGCAACAGACAACATATCCAGAAGAGTATTTTGAAGAGAATCCTTATGAGGACACTTGGGAGTCAAACCAAGGAGCATATGATGCCATTCTTGCCGAAGATATGAATGACTATCTTCAAGGAGAATATGATGATGCCAATGACTCTTGGCAACAGCTTGAAGAAGCATGGTTTTCCCACAAAGGAAAAGGAAAAGGCAAGAGAAAAGGCAAGAAAGGAAAAGGAAAAGATAAAGGAGATGGCAAACAAGATGCAAACTATGCAAATCAACAACAGCCACGTTCTTTACCTGCACCTTCAAGATCTTCACAAGCATCAGGAGGTCAACAAGGTTTCTTTGCACATTGTGTGACAGCAGCAGCTGAAGTCCATGACAGTGAGGTGGACTTGCTGTCAGGCATGATGACCTCATGTCAAGATGAAGCTGACTGCGCGGTCAACAATGGTGAGGCGATCTTCAATGGCATGAGTGCCCCTGTGAGGTACTCTTTGTCAGAGGAGATGCTCGCAAAGGCTCCTGATGGCTTTGCGCTTATGAGCGCTGAGGAAGAAGTGAAGGAGATGCAGGCCATTTCATTTTTGACTGAGAATCGCTTCCCGCCGACTATTGCAATCCTGGACATTGGATGCACTAGAGCTATGGGATCAAGGCGAGCAGTCGACCATTTTTGCAACTATGTCGAAAATCACCCAGATTGTGGATTATGGTACTCTTTTGAGGCTACCAAGAGCAAGTTTTACTTTGCCAATTCCCAGAAGGCTACTTGCTCTCAGAAACTGGTGATTTACATGTATGATCGTGCATGGACGATCCACCATACAGAGTTCGACATAGTGGAAGAAGGAGAAGTCCCTTTGCTTATGAGCTTGCCACAGATGAGGAACTTAGGCTTTGAACTCAGGCTGACACCTCAACATGCTTATCTGACATCGGTGCCTCTTGGTATCAAGTATTTGGAGTTGAAGGTTGCAGCCAGTACTCATCTTGTTTTGGACTTCCAAGATATTGCATGGTATCTGTCTGACGTGAATTTGCAGACTCGGCGCGAGAAGAGTTTTTACTCTCACTTCACTCACTATGAATATGGTCATATTTCTGTTGACCTCAATAGTGATGAAGATGTAGCTGAACATGCATATCCTGTGGTTGACTACTGGGAAGTAGATGTTCACAAGAGAGAACTGATACGTCACCACAAGGATTATAGAAAAATTCTTTTTCCAGCGACTAAGTCCTGTCCTGTAGACACTGACTTACTGGAAGACTTGCGACTGACAATCATCAAGAAGAAGAAAGGAGGAGAAGAGATCAAGAAGCAAGATGATTGGCGCAAGGCAAAGTGGAAGGACCTACAAATTGGCTATGAATGGCGTGGTAGAACAATTTTTAAGTTCAAGCCAGATGCCAAAATTCCAGATCTAAAGATCAGGAAGGCTGGCATTGAGCACCGTGGCATTGGTGATCCCGATGCATTGGTGCGCTCCTCCTCAGAGAAGGTTCCCATTGCAAAGGACAGGGAACCAGGCTTCTCGTCAGAGAAGGAAGGTGCACCAGCCAGTGCTGCGGAAAAGCCCGTGCCGCCAAAGTTTCGGTATACTTCCAAGGGTTTTGATCCATTTTGGAAGGGACACAAGTCGAAACCATCTGAGCCTCAGAATGATTTAAAGGGTGATGATCTTGAGGAGTATGCTCCCTCAGAACCACCTGAGAGGCCAGAAGGTGAACTTGTAGAAATTCCTAAAGCATCAAAAGGACCATCAAGTGATAAACATGAACCACTTGAACCAGGTGATGGCGCTCTTGAGCCTAGGCGGATTTCAATCCCATTACCTGGTAGTGAAGTTGTTGCAATGACACCGGCATATAGGAAGATGTTACAGAGACTGGAGGACAAGGTAGAGCTTTATAAGCTTCATGTGAAGCACTACCATATGAGTCCTACTCAGTTTCGTAGACGTGTTTCTATGCTGAAGCTTCCTGACTCTGTTTTAGAGAAGTATGAATCAGTTGTCAGGAATTGCCGTGTTTGTAACACTTCAGTGGCACCTCCGCCACGAGCCAGAGTCTCCGGTATTAGAGCTTCATGTTTTGGTGATGTTGTTTTTGCTGATCATTGTGAGGTTGAACTTCACAAGAACAAGTATATCATCTTACTTGTTCTTGATGGTGCCACAAATCTTCTCTGGGCTACGGCACAGAAAGACCTCATAGATCAAACCACCATCCAAGCATTGAGGCAGTGGTCTGATGAGAACAACTGTGTTCCAAAGGCCATCGTAGGAGACGAAGCCTTTTTCACCGATGCTTTTGTTGAATACTACAGGTTCCATGGTATACAACAATGTCCTTGTGGGCCAAGAACTCCTTGGCCGAACCGAGCAGAGACAGCTGTACGTTTGTTCAAACGTATGTGGCATGTTATGAAGGTAGATCTGGATGACCCACGTTTTCGTGGTGTTACGGTCAGAGAAGTGGTCAAGAAGGTAGTTTGGGCAAGAAATTGTCAGTTGACTATCAGTGGATATTCACCAATAGAGATAGCAACTGGAAGACGTCCACCAGATCTTTTTGACCTTGAGACCGCAAGCCCTGAGCAATTGTCAGCTAATGCCGCCGCACAAGATCGTACAAATTTGGAACTACAACGTGTGGCCTTGAGAGCTCATCAAGAAGCACGACAAGCTCAGGACCTTCGAGCAGATCTTGCAAGAAGGACTATGCCAAGTGACGGTCCTTATTTCCAAGGAGAGAAGGTTTTTGTTTGGACTCAGGATTCATCAAAGTTCAAGGATAAAGGACGTTGGGTTCGTGCCACAGTACTTGGACAAGAAGGAGCTATGGTCCAAGCCAATACTGGTAAGGCAGTGATACGTGTGAATCAGTCAAAGGTTAGACGCGATCAGATGAGTGGCATGATGTTTCCATACCGGCATTAGACGATGAGAATCCGGAGAACTTACGTGAAGATCACGAACTGTATGTTGATGCCGAATTTGGAGAACAGTCCTTTTTCTTCTGTAATGATGATCATCCTGATGTTGTTGAGTTACTTCATGGAAACAGTGGATTATCTTGGTTCCTTTCAAAGAATGGTGTTAAAGTTGCATCTCCTATGGATTTCAAGGCAGGATACAACTTTTCCACTATGAAGGGT